GAATATCTAATGTGCACCACCGGTTTCGGTAATCGACAAGTTGAAGTGGGATATTTTAGGCTCCATAATTTTGTGATAAATGCTTTCATATGCATTATCATGCATGTTGGTCGTCGTAGTACAGAAACACACATGATGGACTACCTGTTGTTCAGACGCATTACTTACTTATTTATTTACACCTGTTACCCCTCGTGGAGGAGCATGGGCCGCCCACGAGCGTTCTCCATTCAGACACATAATGACCGACTAGTCATCATTATGGCATCATGTACACTCCTGTACATCCCCTTAAAAACTCGACCTCAATACAAATTTAGGGATGTAGAACACAAACATAGATAATCCGTGTCGAATAGTTCGGGACACACTCGAGCTAGACGGAAATGGTGTGACAAGCACCTAACTTAGGGGTCACATCTTGAGGTCAGCACCCAACGTGGATTACCCTTTTGTCGTATCAAGGTACTATGGATGCTTTGAAGACTATACAATACAAAGGGCTTCATTACAGAAATATATTAGCTATAGTAGATGCAATCGAAAGCATGACCACCAGCGCATGTGCTAGTTCATGGCGTACGATTAACTGGTACACGATGGTTTTCCTTGACTATGACAAGGATCGATGATCTATTCGATAATCAATGACCCAATTGCCGGATGATTTGTCTAGGGCTCAGCGATATTTCATTGACCCTACAGGGAAGATATCCAAAGGGGCATAAAGCGGTAGGATTGACTGGAGGCACACTTTCTACGCCTTATACACGGTTGAATTTTGAAATTCGTTGACACTTAAGATGATTCATGAGACTTTCCAGGAGTCCTTTCAGAGGAAACTTGACATTTTCATAAGAGCTAACGACAACATTTCCCTATAATTCACTAATATTGCTCTCTTGGTTTTTAAAATACCCATATTTCTACCTGAAGGCATCAATGTTTCCTGTTACTAGATATGGAACCCCATTAAGCAAAAGATTCTTCTATTCCGTCAACAACCGTTCGAAATTTAACGGTCCTGAATTTACTGCTTGTATTTTTAAGACGGTCTAAATCACTAGCCATGAAAAATTCATGCAAAAGACCTGGTTGCCGTTTCGCTGTTACATCTGGCATGCAATGTGACAACTGCAAAATTTGGTTCCACGAAGCATGTACAGATCTAACAGCAGCAGCCTATAGCAGACTCAGCAAGTCTGATCGCAGGTGGGAATGTCGTTAGTGGGACATAGATTGGATTAAAGCATGTTTTATGCATGCTGGTGTTGCTGCACGCTGATTGGCTAATTTTAAACCGATCAGCCCGGGCATATTATTGCTGAAAAATCTATAAGCTTTTTATGTATATACTATAAATGTATGAACATTGTTTAAACTATTGATTGCTGATTGCGGATTGCTGTTCACTTATCATTATTATTTTGAATACAATTTCATTCCTGTTCAAAGTGTTCTGATTTTGGGGTCTTGTCGAGTGTCATCGTATAAGAATACTAAGCAATAGGAATAGCTGGGTCGTTTATATAGCAAAAAATACAATTATAACATATGTGTTACCTGCAATACTGATACCGTAGTTATATTGGGTACCATCATTACTTTACTAACAGGTCTGAGAGATAAGTTTACTAAGAATTCGGTAAATGATGGTATCATGACGGGTAACAAAACTGTAATGCATAGGGCAAACAAGAAAAAGGATATTGACAGGTCGGTTATCGACGGTGCTGTCAACAGCACGAGTGATGATGTGCTGAAACTCAGCACCATCCTAACATCGATTGTCATCGACTCCCTCAGTAAACTTGGGTCCCCCAGGGAGGAGTCCTTGAATGAGACAGTGGTTCCCGAAAATCCTGGAGGTGGTAAGACTCACGTTAACAGGAGTAAAATGGCCCAAGCGTCCCCGCCGAAACTGAACATCCCCAGTACCGTGAGGAAATCAATTGATGCTTTGGCTGCACAGTCTATCCCCAAGACTGTCCGCCCGGTCATCACTGAGCCCAGGAATTGAAAACGCGCCTCGACATCCAAACAACAAGATACCAAACCTAGACGCCCTGGAAAACCTTGTAAATCAATTACGGTTCGTGATGACTCTGTCATAATCATGAACCTTATTGACAACCCCGACCTTCCTCCCAGTTTGCAGGACAAAATGATAGGATGCTCTGTGGAGAATTAAACAAGAGGCTTGAACTCCCTAGAATAGAGCCTTTGACGGTAACACGGCTCACTCGGGGGAAGGACTCTAACCACCTAAACTACCCGAGGCTGCTTCGTGTTACACTTAAGAATGCCTCCGACGTAGAGGACGTCCTTCTAGCCAGTCACTTACCGAAATCCGATGGGAACGTAAGAATACTGCCCGACATACCGTATTCTGAACGAAATCTCATCCGGAACATCCCTAAGGAATCTCGCGAGGCGTTTTTCCGTGGACGAAATATCATTGTGCAAGGTGTGCCGAAAAATATTGACCCAGCTCAAGCAAACTCTGATATTCGGGAATGGAAATTCATTAAGCATTCCTTAAAACTCAAGAACATATTGACCCAACAGGTAATGCAACTAGCCAAGAGAGAAGGAGACTCTAGGCCCCGGCTGTTGAAGATAACCTTCCCCTCCTCCCACATGGCGGCTGCAACTCTGGGAGCATTTCGTGCCAATAGACGTCGGTTGTCAACTGGCATCCATATGCATCCGGATAGGCCCCACGACAGCAGGATCAAGCACAAGGGAAAGCTGGAGCTGACAATTCCACTCGTGGACTATCTTGATCATAAAAAAACGTGTTGAATGTGTTAGCTTTACAGGACTATCTACAACAGGTGGATTGAGATGTTCACCCTCAACTTGAAGTGGATGCTCATTGGGATTTTTTACTGCACACGATCTTATGTGCTACTGAGCATTCAGTTCCTCAAATGGTCCCAAAAAGCTACAAACAACCTGCAATCATCAAGAACCGCACTCGTCGTTTGCTAAGCCGCAAAAGGCACTGTTGGGCCGAATATAAACGAACTGACAATAACGACGCACACAGGCAATATAAACGCACAAGGAACATATGTTCAAAGGCAATAAAAGAAGACAGGCTTCAGTTCCAAACCAAGCTTATCGATAAATTCGTCTCCAATCCGAAAAGCTTATTCAGTTATTCAGCTTCTCTTCGACAAGGCAAAACTGGAGTTTCCCAACTGCTTGGTCCTAATGGCCCGACCAATAACGGCAGTGATGCCGCTAACCTTTTGGCTGAACAATACTCCCGGACATTCCAGCTGACCCACATCAACCATACTGATGAAAGCTTCACCCGCACCTGTACAGGACTTTCCGAAGTGGATCTGAGTGCTGACCTGGTGCTCCATAAACTGCAGCACCTGAGAAAAAACACTTCTCCTGGTCCGGATATGGTTCATTCCGCTGTTTTGAGGGAAGCAGCTTCAATCCTGGCGACACCACTTGGCGTGATGTTTGCACACTCGCTAAGCAGAGACAAACTACCGGAAATATGGAAGCTGGCCCACATCACACCAATTTTCAAAGGAGGTCGACACAGTGAACCTTCAAGCTACCGACTAGTGGCCCTTCTGTCCATACCTTCCAAAATTATGGAATCCCTAATATACGACGGTATACTAGAATACTTATCACCCTCAAAGTTCTTCTCACCTCAACAGCATGGTTTGTGAAAAGGTCATTCTTGTATGACCAACCTGCTGACTGCGGTGGATAGATGGACAACCATCCTTGATCGCAAGGGAAGGTTGACGTCATCTACCTGGACTTCTCCAAAGCTTTTGATAGGGTCAACCATATATGTCTTATCAAGAAGCTTGGAAGATTGGATATAAAACCCCCTTTGATTGATTGGCTCTCTTCATATTTAGAAAACCGACACTTTATGATCAGGGTTAACTTCACTCTCTCTCAGGCTATGGAATGTCCTAGTGGGGTCCCCCAGGGCTCAATACTAGGACCTCTTCTCTTCTTGATTTACATTAACGATCTTCCTCAACAAGTTCTATCTGACTTATTGCTTTTTGCTGATGATGTGAAACTTTGGAGAGAGATACGTAATCATAATGATATATTAGTTCTTCAGGAGGATCTGACCCGACTTCGAAGTTGGGCAGACGACAACGGACTCACCTTCAACACTTCAAAGTGCAAAGTGGTCCATCTGAGACATGTTGTAGACTATATTTATAACTTGGGTAACTTCCCTCTAGAACTTTCCCAAGTCGAAAAAGATTTAGGAGTGTTGGTACCCTACGACCTGAAATCGTATGCGAACTGTGACAAAAAGGCCTCTCAAGCAAACCTTGCACTGGTAACATTTTTGGCCAGTTTGACGGTAGAAACTTCCACATAATCTTCAACAGTTTCATTCGTCCTCACTTAGAGTACGGAAACGTAGTATTTCCTCCCTCCCTCCAAAAGGATAAGGTCACTCTGGAACGTATACAACGTCGAGCCACGAAATCAGTTCGGGGTCTCAAATTCAAACCTTATGAAGAGCGCCTCAAATCACTTAACCTTTACCCGCTAGAGTACAATCGTCTTAGAGGTGACCTTCTTATGACTTACAGTATCCTTAATACTTCTGGTCACCCCCCTAAACATCTTCTTAAGCTTAGTCATAACACTAACCTAAGAGGTAACACCCAGAAATTGGAGACCCTACATAGCAGAACAGACTGCAGACACAACTTCTACTCCGTTAGAGTTGTCAAGTGCTGGAATTCGCTGCCGACTGAGCTAGTCCAAGCGACCTCCCAGGAGTCTTTTAAGAGGAAACTTATTCTTAAGGACTAAGGATCACATATTATTATGATTTACCAAATTCATTTTTCCTCTATTATCGTTCATATACCTAGGTTTTTGCCTGGAGGTATTGGTGATCCACTGCTATCAGACACGGAAGCCCGTTAAGCGAAAGCTTCTTCTATTCCGTCCACAACCATTTGAACCATTTGAGATTTAGAAATGCGCCAAATGTGAGTCAAGGGCACTTCAACGACCTCGAGACCACATGCGATTATCCCTGGGATTTACTGTCGCGAACTCACGCTACAGCTGATTGCTATCAATCACTTTCAGGTAGGACTATACTATACAAACAACCTTAGGAGATTTTAAGGATAACTTCTAGATCAACCAATCAAAATTAGTAAGTCAGAATTCAGCTTTTGTGAAAAATCTCTAAACTATAGAAATATGATGAAACTGCAAATGATCTAGAGTTTTAGCACGAATAACAAAAGTATTAGGGTTGACCACTAGTAATTTAGGCTGTAAACTAGTTACACAACTCAACCAGACCCTAATTCTCAGCCTTAAATTTCCCAAAACCTAACTCCAAACCCTTACTCCTTATTCTGATACTGCTAAACACTATCCTCCAACCATAGTGCTCGTCACACTAACATACTAACATTGACTGTTCATTTCACATGAAAGTCGCCATCTCTTCATTTCAAAGTACAAAATATGGGGAAAATCATGGGTCCCAGCCACCAATTGTTCACAACAGAAATTTTAAATTCGCTTTAGTATCTAACATAAGTTAGGTTGGTTTTGACTGGCCTCTCAGGGCGATCGGCATAGTATGGTTTTATCCACTTATTAGAATTAATTCCGTTTATTGTGGGTACTGATTCGATGACTTGCGTTTTCTCTTATTCCATTACCTTCCAACTTTCCTCGTCTATGGTGCTTTGTACACAACTTTAGCAACCAAAGTACCTCCGAGCTAAAAGTAAGCCGTTACAGATACGATGGCGGTAAGCTGGTTTTGTTTGTCACAGTGTTTAGACTGCTCTTGGAGTTGTACTTGATGTAGGAATTCATATGAATCCTAATTTCAGAGAAGCTGTTGAGTGCGTAAGGCTGTTATTGGAAAAGAAAGTAAGTCCAAAAGACTGCTGTCAGCCTGTCATATTTTATCTAGTTTTTCGCAGAATCAAAAGATGAAGTTGCACTTATTCTTTGCGGCTCTGATGCTACTGACAATGCTTTAGCTGATGAAGAAGGCAGTTTTCAAAATATATGTTTGGCTTTCGAACTCGCTCCCATAAGTTGGAAGGTCTTGGAATTCCTTGACCCAGAATTATTATCACTCTCGACGGGAGATGGTAGACTGTTTAATGAATTTAATATTTATATATAGTTGTTGATGCACTTATGGTAGGAGCCGACCACTTGTTTAATCGTTGCAAGTAATTATATTTCATTTGTATTGCCAACTTTCAGGAATAAAAAAAACATAAAAGAAAAGCACTTGCTGCTTGTCAGCAATTTGTATGGTTCGGTTGACGATTCTGATGTCTCCAGGGTGTCTGAAAGCCTCCAATCTTCAGGTATCAAGTTCAGCTTGATTGGCTGTGACTTGAAGAAGAGTATTAATGTAACACCTGAAAATCGAGATGAACCTGGACCATCTCATGCCGTTTCTCATCACCTCCATCACTCACCAAAAACTAGACCTTCCATTTCTTTTTTAGCTGAACTCTGGGATCAACTAAATGGAGAATCATATGACTTTAGGTAGGTTAGTAGCGCCATTTATCTGATTTAAAGCTAATAATTGTTTAGGCCTAGATATTTACATACTACCCTTTGTGTTCAGCCGAGCCATTCAGTCGTAAGTAATGAGGTTAGGTACATAATTTTAGAGGGTTTAATTAAACAATCAGATTATGAACTTGTAGCTGCTCTGATGGTTTGGTCATGAAAAATGTGTAGAAAGTCACCGTCTATTTCGACGTAGGATGTAGGTCGAAGCAAGATTATGTTGGACAGTAGCATAGAAAGCAGATCTAGACACCATACCAGTCTATAAGTCTGTTGGTTGTTCTTTCGAGTCACCCATTTTGTAGACCTTTTAAATAGCGCCTTCGGAGTAGCGAAAACCGATGAGCGGGGATCCGGCTTAGTGGCACGTCCCAAAACGAATCACAGTGGTACAAACTTTCGTCTTTTAAATTTTGAAAACTACTGAATATCCCAGTACTTCTTAGATCCTTCACACAAGTTGCGTCTACCATTCGAATTAATGTGAAACGACAAAATCATCAAGGCTCATGAGTATTTAACTGAGATATAAAAATATAACAGTTGAAGGGTATTAATGAAGTGTTGCATGATCTATTTCTTAAAACTAAGTAGAGTGATAGTTTCATGAATCTTAAACCGATCAGTGTAACCCTCCAACTATCACGAGAAACAGAAGTAACTAGCCGTGTGAAGCACCACTTCAAGTGGTCTTCATCTACGTAGGATCATGTTGAGTAGTTGGATTATAAAAAAGCTCGTAATACAAAATTCTACTGCAACGATAAGACTAAGAAATATAAATTAAGTGATCGATACCCAAGTACTTTACTCTCGATTGTTAATTCAGTTGACATGGACTAGTCGTTAAGTAACATTTATCTTGATGAAGAAGAAAGCATCCCGAACGTGCTTGCATCGTTCTCAAAGGCGGTTATAAGACAATGCTTTGTCAGCGTTTTCACCAAACAACTGTATCATGTTCATATCTTAAGTAAACAATTGGCGAATAGCGAGTATTTGGTCTACACTTAAGTCTGAAGTCAGCGTAGTTTTTCAGAGTTTGCTCTTCGCGAGCCCTACTTAAGGTCTACATGATTATGGAGAGTAATATTTTAGGCACTATATTAGTCCAACTGGTCTCTCTGTGGTTGTCACCAGGATTTTTGTATCTTCCTATAAACTAGAACGGTCAGTGATCATGAACTGTCAGGTGAGATTACGTCATGTTCCCAGACTATAGCTAATTTCTCATCCCATCTAGTATCTGAAATTGGATCACCATGCTTAAGCCATTTGGTCGGAGATGATTGGTTCATCTACGACTTGTCGGACAATTCCCCAACTCCACAGAAAAAATTCAGTCGTCGACTCTGTTGTGAAGTAGCTTGGGTCATTAGTTACTCTACCTTCTAATATGTAAGACCCTGCTGTCTTTTTGCCTTAAGAATACCTTTACTTCAACAGTTTTAGTTTTAGCTCATATATTGGCTAGAATTTTTTATAGTCCCTTCAGTATTAGGTGTGGTATGTATGTATTGAGACACACTTTTACTAAATGATGTTATTTCTGTTTTCTTAAGTGATGCAGTCACTGCATTGAGTATATTCGAAACCCGTAGCGTTTTGCAACGTGGTTGGAATGTAAGTTTGCAAATTGGCGATTCTATCACTATCCCAGTTGTCGGCTATACATATATAAAAGAGGCTCATCCACCAACCATGAGGATAATGTACGCTCCAGATCCTACTCTTCCACTGCGCGCTGTTACAAAATATCGTACACAGGATCCAGATCCTTGCGATTTAAACTCTTCTGAAGTTACTCGAGGTAAGAATTCTACAAAACGACTTTATGGTAAACGTTATGAATTTAAAATACTAGTTATTTCTGTAAGATGTTCACATTGTTGAATAATACTTAACTTAAAACGTTCCCGAAAACTTAAGCTTGGTTTAAACTCTTTAACTATACTTCAATCTGAATAAACCATTTAACACGTACTAGAAGTTCTGTATTAAGTTTAACTTTACTGTCCTGGTATATTATCAGCTTAATATGAACAGAATCTTTGGATACAAGGGGCTATTGGAATGTCCAGAGTTTCATATTTGCAAAAGTGTAAAAGTTATCCTATTTTTTCAGGTATTTTAAAATAAGATATTCAAACTTTAATGTTGTGATTGAGACAGCGCATCTGAACAACTAATTCAGTCACTCTGTATGTGTAATGTGTAATCCTTCCTATTGATTAAGCAAGAATTCCTAGTAGAGATGAAACATCCTTGTTAATATACAGAACAATTTTAAGATTAACGGTATTTCTATATGTAGTCGATCTATATTGGTATCGTGTCTAAAAATCCGACACCTTTTCAAGTCGATATATATCCAGCTTCAATTCTCGCCTAATTAATGAGTATCATTTTTAAGAGAACGAAAGCTAGAGATCCAACTTGCCAATTAACTTTCGAACTTAGCTACTGATTGCTTCGTCAGACTATTAAATTTCAGGATACTGATTCGTTTTCTAGTTTCCAAATAATTACGTCCTAAATATGTTTGCCCCAAAATTGTGTGTTCGTCAATTATCTTACTGTTTATAACAAAGGTTATCGGTATGGTGGGACTGTAGTCCCCTTTGGTGAAGAAGATATGGCCTCCATAAAACCCCCTTCAGAAAAGTGTTTCAGCGTTATTGGATTTACGAGTGCTGACAATGTGAGTCTTCCATGCCAACTCCCTTCTGCGTCCACTTTCTAGGTTTTTTTTTGTTTAATGACGTGAGTTACATCCATTTTATGTAGACTTTTTAAAATGAATATTGGCTGCTTCTTTCCATTAAAAGATTAAGTATATGGTAATGGCGCTATTAAAATATCTATATGATGAAGTCTCACGAAGTATATTGTTAAATTGCACAGACAATAAGTTGGTTCTTCCTGACATTCAGTAAACCATTTTAAGGACATCGTGAAGCTCTTACCAAACGTTAGGTAAGGTTATTCCGGAAATTCTATTCATTATGCCTCATAATTTACTGCAAATGGAGATAAAGCAATCCTTAATTTACCAGTGGCTCACACATAATTAATAACCTAAGCATTATCATCAACGGTTAGTACGAACCAGCAACTGTTGCAGTACTTACGTTAAGTTAAGTCAATGGGTGAGTTCCTAAGCAGATCAGTCTAAGAAAAGTTTGATGAAGAATGTGTCCTGGCAAACGCTACTTGAGTCCAACGATTTCGTTAACAGTTCGCCATAAGCTCTAACTTCATTTTCAGTATTTGTGTAAAGAGCCTCGAAAAGGTTTATACTTTCCTGGCACACTTCACTGACAACCATAGCTACAAAAACTCCACTGACGATGTCATGTGCCATATTCAGATTAAAGAAAATTATTAGCCAGGCGTCGATATGTGTGCTTATGCATTTAAGCCTCTCAAAGAGTAAATATTTGTTCAGTATACGAACAGACAGGTTTAAAACCGGGATAATTTACCCGAGTCTCTAATATTTTAGATACTGTTGGGGTTAAATCGATTCCTTTGTAGTTATCATAAAAGGATGAAGTAGTGAAACTTCGTCAGTTGAGATGGCTGGGACATGTGTTACGTATGCCCGACCACCGACTGCCCCGACGCGCAATGTTTCACGGTGTAGGAGTAGGTTGGAAGAAAGCTAGGGGTGGCCAGACCAAAACGTAGCACAAATCAATGAAGTCACTGACAAATGGACTGGGCCATGTTGGTAGGTGTAGACTGCCTGGTTGGGACTCGCGAGATGACAGCAACCGATGGTTAGAGACCTTGAATGACATGGCTCAAAATCGTTTGCAATGGCGAAGATGCATCAACTCTTTGTGTTCTACCAAATTCTAATCTTCTGAATTCCTCATGTCTTTCTATTTTTCTCTTTCCAAATTTATTTCACTGTACTATACTCCTTCAATAATTTCTTCAAACCCTAATCTTTTGGATTTCTGATTATACTCCTACTACTTCTACCACTATGGGATTTGAATCGACAACTGCATCTCTGTGCTAATGTGGTATGGCAACTCGAACTGATGTACGTACGTACGAAGTTCTACGTTGTGACTGACTGACTGACTGAAAAGGATTCTTATCCTTTTTTACCCACTGGAACGGTCAACGTTCGAGATTGATTAGATGGAATTACTTCCAACTCTCAAACCCTAGTTAATACTTTAGTCAACTTTACTAGAGCTGGACCACCATTCATAAATACCTCTGGAGTAAACCTATCAGTTTCTGCAACTATCCTTCACTTTTAGTTAAATATGACCTCTTCTACGTGGCTACAAGTTGGTGTACTTGTGTCGATCTTCCATTAGGGTATATTCATCCCTCAAATCCTCACCTACTAACTGTCAGATTAAGTGTATTGAACTATTATTCAATGCACGTGATATTGCCACTGTAGAGATGACGCTTACGTGGAGGCTGGGATGTGCACAAGTTGACTAAATACTGTGACATTGATTTTTATGTTCTCCTAAACACCTACGTAGTTGTGAAACATATGTAACTCATTACAATGCGTTTATTTCCCTCTACTTGATCTTCATTAACCTTAAATATCAATCTGGAGAATTGTAAATTCCACCTTCCGACTGTCACCATTATTGTTCCTTAAAAAGTGAGCAAAACTTTCAAATACAGTTATAGCAAAAATTATACATCTAACCAACTTTCGGCTCTACAGTCACTATCTTTTTCCCTTCGAAGCACTTAAAAGATAGTGATTTCCATCCTGCAAATATACCCGAAGTACAACTCTGCAAATGTAGTAACACAAAAATCCACTCTACGAAGCAGTAACCTTTTTGATCTCTGTTCTTTCCTTGGCCCTCCTTATCTTTTTTACTAACATCATCACTCTCACAATCTATATAACCCCTTACTCTGCAACATTTACTTATAATCTGACCCTGTGGAATACTATTTACTGTCCACTGAGATTTTGTTACGAACTGATTTCAACTCTCGGACGTTTCATCAGTCTAAATAATAAATTTATTGAAACCCGTTGTCACAAGTCGGTTACATTGATAATCTTCTATAACTATGTTCCAGAAACCACTTGTTTCTCACTAAACTTACGTTCAAACATGAAGAGACATATTCCCTGACTTGATGACTTGTGGCATCGAGACAAAAATTGAGTAAAAGTAGGTTTTACAGTCATAAAAGAGGATCGCTGTAAAGTACATTATACGTAGTCTACTATATGCTATTCTATGATTGTGATTCACGACCTCTTTGGACGGATATATGTATTGATTAAAGCGATTTTATCATTGATATCTTCCCACTATTCCACACATTCGGTAGGGTAAGGTATGTAATTATAAACAAATACGCTGTCAGTCGATTAAACTGTAAATATGTTCCGGTTAGACCGAACTCGTCATTTCCTTGTGCATGCGAAATCATCAAAAATACTTTTACCTACGATTTTGTGTGAAATATAATAAGATTGTCGAAAGATATGGGCGGGAATCATAAGATAAAACTAACCTATGGAGTTGTCGCTTGTCGATCTTAGTCATTTTGTTGGTTAGGCTTCTCAGGTGGAGCCTCCGGGGTTATAGAGACCGTTGCTTGAAGACTCTCACAAAAAGCATGTCTCAAGATCACCCACAATGGCGTAGATTCAGTTGTCTTGTATCTCCTGAGTTTCGGACATTTCACTACGGTTCATTTGGTTTCCTTTCTGAATTTCTACTCACTTTTCAATATTTTCTAGTCTCCTTATTTATACTTCTATAAAACGTTCTAACTATTCCCAGTTCATTTTTTTAGTTATGTACCTGCTTGCTTATATTTATCTACGTAACTTCAATAACCGTTTATCTTCATTCTCATTCGTCCTTGACAAGATCCCTCATAACTTTTACACCGGTGAAAGCGTGTTGGTTTTTGTTGCTCAATCAGTCAAACAATCTGAAGACGATGTAACCAATCGTCCATCCTGTCCAACAGCTCTGGCAGCGTTGGCTCAAGCACTTTATGAGGTTAGCGGTGTCGCTCTTGTCCGGAGAGTGTACAATCAATCAAGTGCTGCTAGACTAGGAGTTTTAACTCCAGAGTAAGCAATAACTGATTTTTCATCTGTTTGTTTGTTTATAAATTTCTGTTTATGTTACGTCTGTCCGTTTGTGAACGTTATGTTTGCTTCCCTAAGCTAGTTTCGGATCCCCAAGCTAGAACTATACAGCAACTTGAAGACCAGAGAGAAGACATGAGTATCAGAGAAGCACTTTACTACAAGGTTCATTTATGTACAGAAAAACAGGGGTTTTATAGTAATTAAGAGACCTTGAGATTCCATAGTAGCAGTATGTTAAATAGCCAATCAGGACCTCGTTATTTTAGTAGCATAGCTTCTAACTAATCGCTGATTGGTTGGGCTCTTTATGAGCCTCTGGAGGCTCTGATAGAGTTTACTGTAAGCCGACTTAACAGTTTACTTTCACGATAAGATGTTAAACAAGTGGTTTTGTTCTAGCGAACAATTTCAAAAACATGTCTCTGTAGCTTGTGCTAATAAGCATACTAACTACAGTGTTATTAGTTATTCAGTGTTGAGCTATGCTTCCTTTAGTTGTGATAGTGTTAATGTAGATGAATGCATCCGGTCATTTATTACAGAAGTGATTATTTGTTGTTATTCCAAGTTAGTTTGTGCTTATTTCATTATGAATAGTTGTTATACGAAAATAAAAATGCATCGTGAATTTTCGTTATCATGAACTTGCAAAGTCAAAAATTCAATAGAATACTATTACCATTTAAAATTTTGTTCAATTGACTTTTTAGAATTCATGGTGATCAGATATCGCTCATGTATACTGATATAGCGTTTAGTGAAGATATTCGCGATCTGAAACTCCCAAGTTTACCAGTTTCCTGTGAGCCTTCGACTTCTACTACGGAATGTTTTGTTAAGTCTTCAAACACTATGAAATTAAGTAAAAATTGTCCATCTCAGGAACAGTTGTCAGCTATGGATTCTTTTATTAATTCCATGATGTTAAATTATTCAGATGGAAGTGATGATGATGATGATGATGATGATAATAATAATGATAGCGGTGGTGTACTCAAAAAGAGAGACGAAAACGACGTGGAAAATCCTTCATCAAGCAGGATGTGAGTCGTGATTTCATTGACTTTCAGATTAACTACATATTATACGATTTTTCTAGTTTTCTTGTATACTTTAATTTCCAAACAATTGTTCAAGATTAATCAAATAAATAATAGTGCGTAAAGAAGTTTAGACAGGTGTGATTTAATTGAGTTGGTTGCATCTTAATATACCGTAATTTCATAACACATTTCAGCATGCGTTGTGTTTAGTGTAATTTATAGTGGTTAAAACTATATACATTATCGATTATAATCTTAGCACTAAGAAGTACTCGTAACTTTTTTTAGATTTTATAGTTGGTCCTTCCGTTTTGTACAGTTCATTTTGACGCTTAGTAACCTTTTTAGTTCTTCGTAGTTTTGCATTTTGCAAATGTAGTAAGGTTCAGAAAGGTTATTACTTAACATAACCTGTACAACCAATATGCATTATTCAGTAACAAAAACAGTGAATAAGATTTATCTTTCGGTTGGCAGTCATCTAATTGTTTTTAACACTTGTCATCAGATATTTCTTAAAATACCTTCAGCCTTTTTGGCAGTAAGTAGTTTTTTCGTACTTTCATCGCCTTACTATCCATATACTCAGTACATTTAATGGATGCAATGAACCATTCTAGTCAATGACAATCTAATTCAATTTTCCCTTGAATTCACATATTAAGCACTATAAATTCGGTCTGACAGTTTCATTGGAAAGTCAGCAACGTATAAAACGGTCTGTGATTAGTTTACTGCAGCGGATTTATTGGTAGATGTTTATTAATTCTAAATCGTTTCATCTAAACTTATGCACATGAACTTTCGTCTGCCATTTGTATACTTTATGATCTACAGTATCCTAAGCACCTTGTAACAGTTGACTATTCATTCATTTGTTTCAAGTTTGATCGGCCAATAATTATTCAATAATCAGATTTGTGTGCGGTGTAGTTGGTTTTTACAAATATTCGAAACAGGTGTTAAATTACTTGAATACTTACTAAGCTATATTGGCGCTAAGTTTTCTGTTTAATATAAAGATGATTTCCCGCTTTTGTAATTTCTAAATTACATTTTAAATAATCCGGTTTCTGTTATCACCAGTTATGCACATTTATTCTCTGTATCTTCAATCCTATGTATTATGAGTTGCTGTGTTATTCAAGTGTAGTAGAAATATCGAGATCACACGTCTTTTAAGCGTGTTCTGTTTCTTTAGCTCAAAATTAATAGTTTTTCACATCAAAATACAAGCTATCAACCATGTTTTGTGATACGTAGCTGTAAAGCGTCAATGCTTTTCATATAGTCTAAAAATAAATATTTGCCCGTAGACAGTAAAGCGAAAGATACCTTTTTTTCTATTAACTTACCGCTTTATTATTTTTGTCTAAATTTAGCTTAAAAGTTCAACGGATATCAAACCCTTGGATTCAACGTTTCTTTGCCTGTCTTAGAAAACGGGGTCTTGATCCATCAGTACCACTTCCGATTTCAAAGCAATCAGATTCTTCTGATGTTTGGCTGTCACCTGAAATGTTTCCTGGTTTGGAGGAAATCATCACACAAATCAATACAGATTCCGAAACTGCATCTCTAATTGAATCCCGTAATATTCTTCTTAATTCATTTCCACCTCTTCGTCCTGCTAGTGATCCAGTAGATTTGACAGAAGAATTTTTGGCGAAAAGACGGCGTTTAACGGATGAAGAATCTTACGCTACTTCTTCGTTCACGAAAGAAGTAGACAGTGGATATCCAACCGAACAACTGACCCCAATTTCTGAATTAACTAGCACACCGGCGTCAAATTCCATTCAAATAAACTCAGTTCAGGATTTTGAAGACCTAATCTGCCAACAACAAACTGAAGTTGGTATGTTTGACGTGATGAAATTTTTCATGTAGCGTTACAGTGATCAATATTGACATCATTTAGAGATTTCTTTAAACCACACTGTTTCGTATAGAAATTTCCACTTTTCGTTTTTCATCATTTCTTATGTCTTTTTGTTGTTGTATCATGTATGAAATAGATACAATAAAATTTCGTTTCTACTCACATCCTAACTATTGACCAATTTCCCTTCTTTTTGTATGTTGTTTAAAGGGAAATTCCTTGGATTATCCTCACTTTTTAGATTAGAAGAAAAACTATTGATGTACCACATAATTTTTACTGTAAATTAAGTTGGCAAGTTAGCAAAGATTTAACCAATGAAAAAACAAAATTTAAGAACTTTTTATTCCGGACTGAAGCTGTCTCCCATTATGCGCAAACTACAAGTTCTAGTCGACTAGCCATGATCTTAAACTTACTACTGCCAATCGACCCTATGACATTTTACTGTAGTATATACTAGGCTGTTTGATAATGATGATGGTAATGGTAAGAATTATTTCTCAACGTTATCCACAGCGTGATGTTATGTTACTCTACTCTTTCTGTTCAGTGCGATCTTTCCTACATACTTTCCGTAATAAATTACATGCTCACTACATGTGATGGTTTTTAGAATAGATTCTAGTACAAAAGGCAAATAAGTCGTCGAGATTCTTCTGGGAGCCGTGTTACTGCTACATGCGTCTGGTTGCACCATGCATAAATAACTAACCTGATGTTATCAGTCATGCTGTATCCTGTCACTATGTTTCCTCCTCTGTATTCAAGTCTAAGCGATTACATCTATGTGATGTTATCTGAGCGAAAAATGACAATAGACAGTGTAAAAGAAAAGTTATAAATATGGCGAGCCTTCCTGCGTTGTAAACATTACAGCCTCGAGACGAACTCATGTAACTTCGTGATTACTCATCGTCAAATGTAGGGGACGAAGAAAAACAGTATAAACGAAGCTCTACTCTGGGGAAAGCGTTGGTAGTTTACCAATCGACAGAACTTGGATTGATCACAGCAGCATTCAAATCAATACTCCAGGTTTCTGTTATTTAATCGTCAGTGAATTCTAGTGGGGACGCAAAAGCGTGCAAAAATGAACCGGTCACTCATGCCATTGACTTCATGGTGCCTACTGTGATCCTGAAATGTTGGCAGCAGTTTGAGATAGTTTACGGTGTATTGTTCCTCAATATCCTCTTTTGTAACATAAATAACTTGGATTTTATAAACAATCATCGCTTCGCATAGTTTTTACAGAATGCAGTCTTAGTATAACAATAATAAATAGAGTCTTGACTTATTAAATGTAGAATACATTTCCAATCTACAAAAGTTGTTAGCTTCATCATAATTTTTATCTTCCGATCCACCTCTTTTTCAGTTTAAAAACGTCCGGCTAAAAAGAATAATAGTAGACCGTATTTTTAAAGCTAATTTGAGACATCTACTTCATGAACATAAGAAAAAAATTTCACATAAGTTTGGCATAATACTTCAAGGGACCAAATGCCACATCACCGATGTTTGTTTGGTATTTTCTATGAAAGTCTATTGTGCGTTTCTATTACCAGTTGTGTTTTGGAATTAATGTTTATTCTAGTACTTGAATTTAGTAAACTAATCACTTTGCACGCTTTAGCTTGTAGACTTTTGGAGAAAGAAATAATTCGACTGGTGACCGATCCCTTCACTGCAACTTTATTGCGTCCAAAAGCTATCGCTTACCTGTTCGCTTATCGTAGGCGTGCTCAGCCAAATAGAGAAATCGTCAATAATAGTAATGAAAACAATCATATTAATGATACTACATGCAACAGCAGCACATGTCATCTTGAAATTGCTCGAGCATATAACTCATTTATTCGTAGTTGGCGCCAGGATCTTATAGATCGTAATCTCCTCGGAAGTAGTGTCTTATCTCAACATGCTTCTAATGATAGCAAGTTGTCGTTTTGGCTGGAAACAATTACACAAGGTATTTGGATGTATATTGTCTATATCAGTTTATTTTTTTCGTATTTGAGGTGAAAAATGTATATATAGGTCTAAAGTTTTGTGATACCCGTAATAGTATATATACAGGATAAAAAACCGGTATCCACCTGTACACATGTGACCACAAAAAAACAACTTGTTATAAAATGATAGGGAAGATTTGTATTGCATTTCCTGAGCTGGTAGTTTGATTGATGGATTTTTATTGTCGTTCTGGATAACATCAGTTCTTAAATCAGGTAAAAGTGAGCTGATTTTTTTTATTACGATCATAGATTTATCTTCAAGGGCCTCATTCCTACAGTTGAAGAACATATAGAACTCAAAACAACTGTCAGCCAATATTAAAGTCAGAATCTTCAATACGAACGTCAATACAGTTCTACTGTATGGAGCTGAAACGTGGAGAACTACTACAACCGTCATCAAAAAAGTACAATTATCTGTAAACAATTGTCTATGTAGGATACACAATGTCCGTTTGCCGGATACCATAAACAGCAGCAGCCTACTACGGGAGAGAACAAACCAGCTTCCAGGTGAAGAGAAAATTAGGAAGAGACGATGGTAGTGGATAAGACATACACTGCGGAATACTTTAAAATATTATATCGATTAACTTTTAATGTATCAGATTCTATCTTTCATTGTAATATATTCTCTTCATATGCATAGGTTTCGGTCTTTTGTGCAATGAAGATATCCCAGAAATCGGAGTTAGTCAGTCAGAAAATCGTGAGTTTTTGAACTTGGAGGATATTGCAATGTCTCATTTTGCTGAAACAAAAAGTGATCAGCCTGTATCTCCCGACCGTGTTCTCAAAGTTGAGTATTTGGTAAGTGTTATTCATTTTCATCTTTACAAAAACTATTAGTTATAGGCTACCGTTAGTGTAAAAATGCTATTCGTACTTTCAAAATATTTTATTGTTTATATCCTGAACTATCTTTTATTGTAAGAAATCAGCAAAAAGCTATGTAAATAGGTTTCATACTGCTTGTCATTTGAAGTTTTCGGACATTGACAGAATTTTTTTTAAATCTTGAAAAAATGAACTTTCTAACATTGTTGCTTTGCCTATGGATTTTAACCAACAAACAACTTGGGTAAATGACTTTCTGGTGATTAAATTCAACCACGTAACATCAAAACCAAGTTCTATCAAATGTTAATCTATTTTCCGTAATGTCCATATCACAACTTAATCTTTAGTATTCTTTCATCACTATGGACATTGGTTCCCGATGTCCCGATGTGCAATGCTTTATGGTGAAGGAGTAGGTTTGAAGGAAGCTAGGGGCGGTCAGACCAAAACCTGGCACAAATCCATGGAGTCAGTGACAATTGGACTGAGCCATGTTGGTAGGTGTAGACTGCCTGGTTGGGATTCGCGAGATGATAGCAGTCGATGGCCTCCAAATGCCCTGGTAAGGCCGAGAGTGGGGAGAGTCTACTCTCCCTCTCGAAATGCTCTCACATGGCCAGCGAATATATAGCCTCTGCCAGGGAAGTCCTACTCACTACCTTCTCACAGTGGCGGGGGTGTTGTTTACGAAAGTGAGAGGACGAAAAGCGAATGTCCGGCGCTTTAACCGGGTTGGTGGACACGGAGAGTCCACCTAGGGGAGTTGGAAAACCCTGATTCCAAACAATGGTGCACATGGGCTCCAGTATCCTGATGGAACGAATGGCAGACGAACCTGTCATTGGTCAACGGCTACCATGGGACTGCATCTCCTCACGATGCTCCACTGCCTTGTGGATCAGACCTTTTGGTCAAAGGCTCGGGGTGTGGCCCCCTAAGAAAACCACCTGCTTCGGTTTGGGCACCCGAGTAGTATCACAGCCCACACACAAATTATTTTGTGTGGCGCATATGTACCTGGTGCCCTTTTGTACCAATATATATGTGTTTAAATAAAATAAAAAAATGGACATTGGTTATTACATAGTGAGTAAGTATTGTAAATGCGCACAACATTGAGTATCGTATTATCCAGAATTATTAGAGTTAACAAACAGTGAAGTTTTGAACATTCTATACTTGACTTCTGTCCAAGTATTTTTTCTTAGCAAGAAGTCTTCTAGTGTGTTATTTATTCCATATGACGTGTAAATTGATAATATCGTATAGCCAAACAGATTAGAATGAATATACGGGCATCATCTTTGTACAACAACTGTATAGTTGGTTCCTCGATATTTTTAACTTACAAGCACATAGTTATTTGTTATCATCCACTATAACAATTTACTTGTATACTTAGTTTTCCAAATTAGTAACACTATCCGAGCAAAGTGTCGCAAAATTCATTTCAATAAATCAACTATTCAGTCAGTCAGTCACAACGTAGAACTTCGTAAGTACGTACATCATTTCGAGTTGCCATATTACATTAGCTCAGAGATGCAGTTGTCGGTTCAAATCCCATAGTGGTAAAAGTAGTAAGAGTATAAGCAATAATGTGAAAGATTAGGGCTTGAAGATGTTATTGGATGAGTATAATCCAGTGAAATAAATTTGGAAAGAGAAAAAAGATAGAGATATGAAAAATTCAGAAGATTAGAATTCGGTAGAACATAAAGAGTGGATGCACCTGAGCCATTGCAAACGATTTTGAGCCATGTCATTCAAGGCCTTTAACCATCGATTGCTATCATCTCGCGAATCCCAACCAGGCAGTCTACACCTACCAACATGGCTCAGTCCAATTGTCACTGACTCCATGGATTTGTGCCAGGTTTTGGTCTGACCGCCCCTAGCTTCCTTCAAACCTACTCCTTCACCATAAAGCATTGCACATCGGGACAGTCGGTGGTTGGGCATACGTAACACATGTCCCAGCCATCTCAACTGATGAAGTTTCACTAATTCATCTACCGATTTGTCATCCTTACCTAGTACCCGTTTCCTAACGACTGCATTACTTACTCGGTGGTCTCAGGATATACGAGCAATGCTTCGAAGACACCTATGATCGAATACTAGTAGCCTACGAATATCCTCTACTCTTATCGACCATGTTTCACTGCCATGAAGTAGGACGGAACGAACTGATGTACAGCAAACCCGTCCTTTTGTTGCTAGACGGACATCTCGCCTAAGCCATAAATGACGCAAGTTGGTGAAAGCTAGACTAGCCTTCTGTATCCGTGCTGAGATTTCGTCACACACCAGACCACAAGGGCTGATGAGACTCCCAAGATAAGTGAAGCTGTCAACACGCTCAACTACTTCACTCCCTATCATTAGTTCAGGTGCTTGTCATGTTACAACCAATTGATGAATTTTAATAGCAACTACCATCTAAACATTAATTGACAAAATGCATATATCGTACCACCATAATACTAATGTTCTTTTCATTTCGACTGAAAAATATTCAAAATTTAATGAAGTGTACATTAGCATGTTTTAACTTGTTAATAAACTATTCAATTGAGCATACATTATACTACGGTTTTTTTGTTTCTTTAGATGGATGACACAGATTGAAATTTTCCGTTGTTGTTGTTGTTTTAATCGCTTACAATCACACATATTATGGGTGACCTATTTTCTTGATCATATCAGTCATATTTTGTAATCTATTTTCTTTCCTTCATAAAAGTTTTACGTTATTGATTGTATGTATATAGAGTAACTACACAATTAAATACATATTTCTCAAAAATAAAATAATTTTTTGTTTTATTTGGATAGAAATTCATATCTAACTATCCTGTCATTGTTAAGAAAGAAAAAAAAAGATTTTTCAGTTTATCATGCGATGTGTACAAAATATTCCATGTGAATTTTTCTGTTAGAAATAAACATTTCTCACATTTTCGTGTCGTCTAGATATATAGTTAGCAATAATGAAATTTCTAACTAGTAATATCAGGTTAGAAAATTCAAGTTCCAACCATTTAGTCACAGCTTTAAACGTTTATCTGCTTAATTCAGTTTTTGAAACCTGGTGACATTACAAGCTCACACACATATGGCGTGGTTTAAAGCCGATTTCATATAAATGTAGTTAGTAAATGTGGTGTGTTAATGGCGCATTTTTAGCGCACCTAACACTCAGTAAAATGAACTTTATTAGCTGTGGGTTGTTAACGGACGAACTGTGTGGCGCATATGTATCCGGTGCCCTTTGTATCAATATATATGTGATTAAATAAATAAACGAACGAACTCTATCATTTGACAGTAAGCCATTTGCTGTCGAACTTGACCAATTTTATTTGATGATATTCTGTTTCCCGACCGTTGCTGCTACCTTGACGTGGTGGTCGGGCTTGCCTATCGTGATGAAGCAATCGAGCTATGCTGGCTGGAACAATCGTTCCTCGAGGTCCTACCATGCCCGACAGGTCGATTGAAGAGCGGTGAGACTAAAAGCAGCAAACCCAAGGTCCGAAGGCGAAGTCGTACTGCTGACTGTACAGAGGTGTGAAAGCAGTAAGGTGTTTCCTTCAGACAACCAGCATGACAGCGATGCTGCCTTCCCACAAGGAGGGGTGGGGTTAGAAAAGGTCGACCCTAAAAATGCACACCTCGCCTTATCCCACGGATATCCGTCTCCGGCGGTAAGGTTTTTTTTGAAGAACGGAGCTAACACAAAAACTACCCACAAAAAGGTCGTGTGTGACCGACCTCAAGCAGTTGTCCCTTGGGCACTGCGGTCACGCTCTCCGGTCATTAAGACCACTTCTAACCCAATTTCGTTTTCAGGTACCTCTAGAAGAATCCTTCCACGGTGTGGGCAACCGGGAAGCGATAACTGCCCTCATACCTCTAACAACACTCAAGACCACTGTATTCATAATCAATCTCCTTCTTCAATTCCTACTACCTTGACTTTCAACACTAAACTTCCTCTCTCGGTTTCCTCCTCAAGTGTCACCATGGCCAACGATTCTAGTGCGCGAAACGCTGTCCCAGGTCTACTAAAACCTCGCTCCAAACTACACATTGGAGCCTTCAACGTACGTACTTTAAGTCAAATCGGTCAACAGGCCTCCTTAGCTAAAACCTTAGAGTCGCGTACCATTGATGTATGCTGTGTCTCCGAAACACGCATACAGGATCCTAGTGTGGTCATTCACCTGACCTCACCTCGCCAAAATGGACAGCCAACGAAATACACCCTCCGTGTATCTGGCGACCCGTTGGCTAGTTCTCGTGGACTTGCAGGTGTAGGCATAGCACTAAGTACAAGGGCAGAACAGGCACTACTAGAATGGATCCCCGTTGACAGTCGCCTGTGTGCTGTCCGGCTAAATGGCTCCGTAAGAACTCGGAAGGATAGGGACACACGTCGTTGCCTTTTCGTCGTTTCTGCCTACGCTCCCACTGACTGCAGCCATGATGAGGTGAAAGATGACTTTTACAGAAAGCTCTCTGAGCTTCTTCAGAAAGCTAAGCGCTCAGACATAGTAGTCGTAGCGGGTGACTTTAATGCCCAGGTAGGCAGCTTAAATCAAACAGAAAGACATCTAGGTGGGTGTTTTAGTATTCCGGCTCAACGAACCGATAATGGTGATCGTCTGTTGCAACTATGCTCAGACAATCGTTTATTTTTGGCAAGCACTAATTTTAAACATAAGGAGAGACATCGTCTAACATGGCGACCACCTGCACCAAACCAACGATGGACTCAAATAGACCATATTGTCATCAGTCATCGTTGGAGAGGCTCAATAGAAGATTGTCGCTCGTATTGGAATACTTGTTTAGACTCTGATCACGCTTTAATACGAGCACGCATTTGTCTGCGCCTCAATGGACGCAGGAAAAGTAAACTAAGAAGACCCGTTAGGATTGAACTGGAGGACGAGAAAGCCAAATGTGAATTCCAGAGACAACTGAGTTCACATCTAGGCAGTTCTGTAAACGAGACTGACCCAGATGCTGCTTGGAAAGGCATACGAACAGCTGTGGAGACAGCAGTAACATCTATTAGTCATTTAAACCATAGGGCTCCAAAAAACCAGTGGATTTCTTCTAGGTCTATTTCACTGATGGATTCGCGTAAACTCATACCATCAGGCTCTGAACATGACGAAGAGCGTAAAGAAATTAGATCTAGGTTAACTAAAAGTCTAAGGAACGATCGTGAGCAGTGGTGGGCAACGAAAGCAAAAGAGATGGAAAAGGCAGCGGCTGTAGGCAACACCAGGCAACTATTCAGACTAATAAAAGAAACTGGAATTAAGAAGTCAAGTGTAAGTGAGACGATCTCGGAAAAAGATGGAACCCTTATCTGCTCTCTACCCAAACGTTTAGAACGATGGGCGGAACACTTTAAGGAGCAGTTTAGCTGGCCTTCAGCTACTGCACAACTACCCACTATTCCTAGAAAACCTGATTGGAACATTGAAGTAGGCCCCCCGACCCTACTTGAAGTTCAAAAGGCTATAGGTAATCTGAAACGAGGAAGAGCAGCTGGTCCTGATGGATTGGCTCCAGAGGTCTTTAAATATGGTGGTCCAATTTTAGCGATTAGGTTGACTAATATTCTGGCTAAAATCTGGGAGACGGATGTAATCCCATCCGACTGGTCACAATCACTGATTGTCCCAATATATAAGAAGGGGCCAAAATCATCCTGTGATAACCATAGAGGGATTAGTCTGACTAACATAGTATCTAAAATACTAGCCTCAATAATTATCAGGCGCCTAACTAAAACTCGTGAACTGCAAACACGAGAAAATCAGGCTGGCTTCAGACCTGGTCGTGGCTGTATCGACCACATATTCACCATTCGTCAAGTTTTAGAGCACAGACATGCTTATCGGCGTCCGACAATGATAGTTTTTCTTGACTTGAAAGCAGCATTTGACTCTGTAGACCGAGAGGTTCTGTGGCAGTGTCTGTCATTGAAAGGTGTACCTGAGAAGTACATAAACCTTGTGAAGGCTCTTTACTCGAACACTATCAGTCGAGTGAGAGCTTATGGTGAACTGTCATATGATTTTACAACCTCAAGTGGTGTCCGTCAAGGCTGTCCACTATCCCCATTTTTGTTTAACTTCATTATAGACCTGTTGCTGCAAATAACACTCTCTTCGACTGAATCTACAGGAATTGATCTCCAACCAGGGGGACCACTAATCGACTTAGAATACGCAGATGACATAGTCCTGTTTGGTGAAGACGCTGGCAAAATGCAGAGTCTTCTGTTGGAACTCAGTAATAATGCCAGGATGTTTGGGATGCGTTTCTCCCCATCCAAATGTAAATTGTTACTCCAGGACTGGCCTGCGTCAACACTCGAACTAAGGATAGGGAGTGAAGTAGTCGAACGCGTCGACAACTTCACTTACCTTGGAAGTCTGATCAGCCCTAATGGGTTGGTGTCAGACGAAATCTCAGCACGGATTCAAAAAGCTCGTTTGGCTTTTGCCAACTTACGTCACCTATGGCGTAGACGAGATATCCGTCTATCAATTAAGGGACGAGTATACTGCGCATCAGTTCGCTCTGTCCTACTTTACGGCTGTGAAACATGGCCATTAAGAGTAGAAGATACTCGTAGGTTACTAGTATTTGACCACAGATGCCTTAGAAATATTGCTCGCATCTGCTGGGATAACCGGGTAAGTAATAATGAGGTTAGACGCAGGGTATTAGGGAACGATGGTAAATCAGTTGATGAGGTGATGAATCTTCATCGACTGCGATGGTTGGGCCATGTGTTACGTATGCCTGAACACCGATTACCACGACGCGCTATGATGACTAGTGTAGGGGATTGTTGGAAGAGAGTTAGGGGCGGCCAAACCAAAACATGGCATCAGTGTTTGAAGTTACTAACTTCTAGCTTGAGCCATGTTGGCAGATACAGACTACCTGGTTGGGGTCCGCGTGACTATCGTAATAAATGGTTGGAGACTCTAGGTGACATGGCTCAGAATCGATCACAATGGCGTAGGTGTATACACTCTTTATCTTCCCTTAAACCTTGAGATTAAAATTGCTTCATATCTCTCTTCCTTCCTGTACTATATCCTTCTATACAATCTTTCTTTATATACTACCATCACTAAATTAATTGCTTCTATGAATCCGGTGTTCATCTTGTTGTGCTAAAGAGGTATGGCAACTTGGACCGATGCATATATGTGCCTGGTCCTACGTTGTAGCTGACTGACTGACTGACTGACTGATATTCTGTTCAGATTTACGGATAGTCCTATCAACAGGTATTTTATATCTGGTTTATAATTTTCGCTCTTGATTTGGATTTTCTTGTTTTTATGAACATGTATTATGATTACAGGTTGGTTATTTTCAAGATTCCCACATGGTTACAAAAAGCCTGTTCTTTTTTGCAATTTTATTTCTACAGGCAAGTATATTGTATGGTATTTCTATCTCTTTTCTTATTCTCAAATATGGTATTCGAAGGTATAAAGGGTTGTGTGGTTAGAAGTAGTTTATAGGAATTCCTGTCGATTATCTCTCTGTCTTAAATCTCAACATATTGTACGCGATGTCGAGTCACATAGACTTGATTGGCAGAATTCGATCAGCATTGAAAAAATCTGACATACATAATATCGACCATTACTTAGTGATCCATCGACTGTCAATGAAAGTAGAAAGTATCGTATCATTGGGTTTTACATGCTTTGAGAGCATTTTTTGCTTGTAATATAAGCATAGAATAGTCTTGACGT